TAGTATTTAAAACTTTCATCATTGTGGGTTCTTGTAACTTTTAGAGGCTTGCTCTAGAGACTATAATATAAGTGTAAAGAGTGAGGAAGGTAGGAAAAATATACTGTAATGGATAAACTAAAGGGCAGTGTCTCCCTATGTGTGTATGTGTGTATACATATATTACTAGTTTAAGAGAGCATTACAAGTACAGATTACATCTGGTTTCTGAATAACCTAATGCTAACACTTGAGACAATAACTGTTTTAACAATTAGATAGTAAAGGGTGAATCATTTCAAGTTACAATCATTGCTGCTAATATTTGTGATCTCTTCCATCAGTGCTGCTTCAAGATTTTAAGGGTATGACTTATGATTGTATGATTTGTTTCTTGAAGGGTATGATTCTGGTGAAAAGAAACGCATCCCTGCCTGGTGTGACAGAATTTTGTATCGTGATAGCTGCAGTTCTTTGGTGGCTGAGTGCAGTTTAGAGTGCCCTGTTGTCTCTTCAGTATTGCAGTGAGTGCTCTTGTGTATATTCTCTATTACGAGATGTGTGAAGCAAATCAAGACTGATTACAAATTTCTTATCTTTAGTATACTGAATTTCAGATTTTTGAAAAGGGAAATGCTTGATAGCTAAAAATAATTTTTCTAGAGCAAGTTGGTATCATTATTGATTTATATAACTACCACCCTTGATTCATAACAAATTTTGTATATATTTCATTGTATTTTTCTTGTGGCTAAAACATATTTATGCTGTCTATATGTAATATTCTTTTTAATTTGGTCCATATACTAAAACAGGTTGTTATTTAATTTGTGTATAATTACTTACAAGTTGGTCATAAATTAATATTTTGTTATAGTATTGTTTGTTATAACTCAATAAAATTCAGGGAGCAATTATAAGTATCATGTGTAGGGACTGGAAATATTATATATTTTGTCCTTATATGTGACAATTAGTTTCTACTTGGCCATGGCACTTCACAATAACTCCATGCTAATCTAACAGTGTTATAACAGCAACAGATGCCAAGGACGTCATTGAAAATGGTTATTGACTGAAGATACACACATAATGTATAGGCTAACCATATCTTGTAATTGTTGGATTTTTGTGTTCAAGAATGTCTAGACCTTTTTGGAAAAACTCTCGCACTTGTTTACAATCCACTAAGTCTGCACTCCTCAAATTGGGCTTGTGCGAAATTCAACAATAGGAAAGTGTTAGAACATATGTATATAATGTAAAAGTGTAGGTAATTAGGATATTTGTTGATTCTTGTAATCATTACTGTGTCTATTTATAATCGAGCCTCTTCTGTGTAAACACATAGATTCAATCTTGTATCTGATTTCCTCCTTCCTCAACAATTGTGCATTTATATAGGTGCTAAATTGAGAACCTTTTGCATTTGGGGTCCTATCGAAATATTGGTCAAATTTAACCTTTTTGAGTGTGTAGCATTGCTCTAAAATATTTTAGAAAAACATGAGTGGAAGTATTTCTTTCAATTTTCGTTTTGATTAATGCCATCTCACCTTCAACAGGTATGAAGCTTGCATGGATGTCACAGATAGTGACCACAAGCCTGTCCGCTGCATATTTTCTACAGATATTGCTCGAGTAGATGAATCAATCCGGAGACAGGAGTTTGGAGAGATTCTCGAGTCAAATGAGAAAATTAAACGTCTTCTGAAAGAATTATGCAAGATTCCTGAAGCTATCATTAGTACAAACAACATAATTCTTCAAAACCTGGACACATTAATTTTGCGTATTACAAATAAATGTGCAGAAGGCAATGCTTTGTTTGAAATAATTTGCAAAGGTCAGGCTACAGTTACAGGGGATCAGAAGGCTACTAATCATCAGTTGAGAGGTTCCTTTGGCTTCCCAAGGTGGCTTGAGGTGATATTCTTTATTTAAAATAAATTTCGTTTTTTTGTGAAATATTTATGGTTATATAAAGAACTTGAAAACGAGAGATTTGAAAAGAGGAAACTCAGAACTAATTTTTATTTCTAATCTGATACTGACAAAATGGATGAAATCACTCATATATACTTTATAACATTCAATTCTGGAACCTCAAGAGACTAAATTTTATAATTCTCAAGAGCTTAAGAATTTGTGCAGGCTAATTGAAGATAAAAAAATAAAATCTATTAATATCAAGTTGGTGAATGAATATCAATCATCCCTAACTAGTAAGATCTCGAAATCACAACACAGGAAGTACTTTGGTTAATACATTAGCCAACTAAGGGATATACACTGTATCTATAAGATCATAGTCTAATTTTTCTTTAACGAGTGCCAATCTATTTTTACATGCTTGTCCTTTCATGCTGAACTGAACGTGGAATGTTGACGACAGACTTGTGGTCACAGAATAGTCTCATAGGAGCTTCATACCTTATTTCTAAGGTCATTGTAAACAGTCTTCATCCATAACACCCAACACCCCTTTGAGCCATGGCTCTAATTTCTACCTTTGCACTTATCTTGCAACTATATTTTGCTTTTTACTCCTCCATGTTATCAATTTTCCACTTATAAACGTGCAATATCCTTAGGTGAATCTCTTGTTAGCAATTGACCCTGCATAATCAGCATCTATATATAGTTCCATAGTGTGAATTGTGAAATGCGGGTCAAATGGAGGATAGTTTGATTAAAAAGTAGAAGACAACCTAAAAGAGACTTTGCTTATAACTCAATGGCATTTATTGATCCTTATAGCTGACTCCACCAATGGGATAATGCATGGTTGTTATTCTTATATTAGATAATCAGGGTGGGAAGATAATTGTTGTGTATTCTACAGGGCATGAGGTCCAAAAATTCAAATGGAAATTAAAATACCTTCTGACAGTAGGAGATGTTTTAACCATTTTATATTTACTTTATATATATATATATATATATATAAAAAAATAAATGACTACAACTCATTCTTACGTCTATTTAATTATAAAAACAACACATTGGCCCAAGAAAAAAAAAAAGAGTGAAAAATTAAGATAATGCTATTTTTTAGTCAGAGGAACAAAAAAAGAAATAGAAAAATAGGAACAAATAATTTCAATACCTCACGATAGTATTATAAATTAAAATGTTGTTTATTAATAATAGAAGATTGATATTGTTCTCGTAAAAAAAAATGATTACAATATATTTTACAAGTCATTTTTTTCTTCTATTATCATCACTCATCTTATTTCACATATATTTTCTCTCTCTCTCTCTTTTCTTAAATAGTGTTTTAGTTGAGAAAGTATTGTTAAAATAATATTACTTAAAAAAATTACAATAATTATAAATATTTATATATATATATATATATATAATTTTATTTTCCTCATCAGTACATTCTTCTAAGTTAGAGAAGCAATACCAGCCCAAGTTTGGCAGTATTGAAAACGTTTATTATAGTAACCTAAGTCATCAACCCAATTAGTCTTTATTGTAATATAGGAATGCATTATTGGACGTTTCTTTCCAAACTAATATGTAGACAGAAGACGGCGCCATGTTTGAGATTAATCACTTGACCCTGACAGAAGAAAATATATATATTTTTTTTCCATAAAGGCAATGTGAAAGCTTAAGTTTTTAAATTGCAATTACAGTTGTGGTTGTCTCACAGTCGCGATCACATTGCAACTGTTGTGAGCTAATTTGATTTGCCATCGCTGTGTGGTAGTTATAGTGGCCGGCCAGAGCTGAGCTGTTACAGCCTCATCATGTGATGTGGTTTGCATTTTAAATCCTCGAGAAAGATAACCAAAAATCTCCCCGAGAAAAAAAAAATTGGCTATGACTAATGGCTTCTGTACAAAAATGTTAACTACAATGGCCATTTTTTTTTTTTTTGTGGATCAACATCATACATTTTATTCTCGCTTCAGATAGGTCATCTCTCCATTGCAATGCACCTTTTGATAATTATGTTCACATTTTATAATTCAGGTGAGTCCTGCAACTGGTATAATAAGACCAGATCAAATTGTCGAAGTATCAGTGCATCACGAAGAATTTGAGACTCTGGAAGTGTTTGTTGACGGTGTTGTACAAAATTCTTGGTGTGAAGACTCCAGAGATAAGGAAGCTATTTTGGTTGTTAAGGTGCATGGCAATTACACTATCCAGCCGAGAAGTCACCGAGTCCGTGTTCACCATTGTTATTCATCCAACAAAAAACATATGATTGACACTCAACCAGACGGCTCCAGGAATATCCAAGGAACTTTACTACACCGATCTGATTTCCAACCATTCAGCAGTTCTTATGATGTGGTTGATCAGCTACAGAAATTGCATAGCCCTTAAAGCAGCAGTTAATGTGAGTATTTGTAACTATTTTATGTGGAAGAACAATAGTCTTGTAACAGGCAATAAGTTTTTAACCATCTTGATTATGTTTGGTAATGTTTTTTTTTTTTTTCCTTCTAATCATAGGGAGCTTGTGACCCAACTTGTAATCATCGAGATGATTGAACTGTACAGAAAGCAGATGCAAGGCAAACGAGACAGCTTTTACTTTATCCATGATTTAATTTATTCAGAAATGAGCCCAATTTATTCTGTAAATGACTGTATCATATCAAACAACACAAGCTGCGATTGAAAGGGAAAATCCAGTGACCTACTGTTACTGCAGGTAAAGCTGCTGCAGTTTAGTGTGTCCTTTGAATGATGGTTGTTACTATCTCATTATTTGCCTGGAACTTTGTATAATGGAAGTCCATTTTGTTAATCGACTTCCTGTTGTATTGTGACCTAAGTCAAATACTATTAAAAAAACGTGATGGGTTATTATTAAAAATTTTTCTGAATGTTTTGCCATCAAAAGAAATAGTCGAGTTAAAAATTTTGTTATCCAATAATCATTGGCGAAATGGCTTGTAAATATACAGTTTAACCAAATACTTTTAAAAGTTCCACCCTAAAGCATTCTAGATAAATATCTGAATAGTTTTATATGATTTTTTACGCATACGTAAAATAAAGTAAATTTTGGACATTTTAGTGACTTCTCACTATGAGCAACACCAATTTGTCACATCAATGTATTTTTCCAGTCTCATTATACGAAACAGTTGCACTGATTTTCTATCTTCCCAATGCCATTAGCAATTTCTACTCCAAAATCTCCCGGTTAACATTTAAAGATAAATCCTGAATAACAGTTACTTTTTCAGGATTGGTTGAATAATTATAATAAAAACTCGGTTTTGGAGCCGACACATTATCAAAACCTAAGATGAACAACATCCCTTTTTTTGGGCCGCGGCATCTGCCGGCGCCGCCCCCTCTGCTACCTCTGGGCTCCCCCCTTCTGCTTGTAGTACAACAGTCTTTCCATTTTCAATTCGGGAAACATCCTCTTTGCCGCTGAGCTCTTGAGACATCATAACCTTTCGACTTAGGATGTTGTAAATCTCCTTTACAACTGTTTCAAAAGCAGCTGCTACATTTGATGAGTCAAGAGCTGATGTCTCCATGAAGAACAAACCCTGTGCCTCAGCTAAGGTCTTGCCTTCAGCGGTTTCCACCTCCCTTGCATCTTTAAGATCTGACTTGTTCCCCACAAGTATTGTCACAACGTTCATGTCAGAGTGAGCTGTTAAATAATAAACCAGTCCATTTAATCCTCGTTTCATCAAATTCACAACCAAAATATGTGAATGTGTTTTTGAAACAAGAAAAAAAAAAGTGGCCTATCAATAAGCTAATAACTAAAAACCATAATCGCCTTTTTACTAATTAATACTAAACCATGTTTATTAAAAGGTTTATATTTATGCATGTCTGTATATGCTTATTATATTAAAAAAGACCAACAGGAAGACTGACATAAAAATGCAAAAGTTCAAAGCAGAATTTAACTATCAACTATGCAACACAGAATTTAACATCCACATGATACATCCAATAAGATAATTTTTCATTAACTAATAAAACACAAAAAATGAATAAAGATTATAATCTTGTTTATTTACCAATAGACCATTAAATTTCAGTATCATAACGTTTTCACAGATTGTACCAATACCAAATTGAAGACAAGTTAACAATTCCCTAAATTAGAAACCCGAAAGAAAGAAAACAAGCATGAGAAAAACTTCAAGATGGTAAAGAAGGGTTCAAACGTAATTGTAATTCTTACTGTGAAGTTCATTAAGCCATCGGCCTATGCTATCAAACGTTTGGCGCCTGCTGATGTCATACACCAGAAGAGCTCCAACTGCACCCCTATAATATGCAGATGTAACCGCTCTGAACCTCTCCTGCCCAGCTGTGTCCCATATTTGTGCTTTAACTTCCTTTCCATTAATATCTATCTTCTGAGTTTGGAACTCTACTCCTATGGTTGACTTTGAATTAGGATAAAACTCATCCCTGGCAAATCGTGCAAGTAAATTTGATTTCCCAACAGCTGAATCACCAATTAAAACAATCTTGAAAAGGTAGTCCTCTGTCTTCTCTTCTTCATTACTAGCAGCCATCTGTCAGACTTAAGGATTGCCAGTGTGTAGAAACAAATCAACAATAAATAATCATCATGGAGTCTGGCCCTTTCCAATACTAGAATGTCACCTAAGATGAGAACAAGGATCAGAAAACAAAAGAGCAACTGCTAACAAAGAATTCTGGAAGACAGGAAGGGTATATTACTGATATAGTTACCTTATGAAGCAACAGCTGACTGTTTCTAGCATACACAACAGTATCCACCATTGGCATCAAGCCCCCAATTCAAAAAAACCAAAACTTTCTTGAGTACCTGAAAGGCTGAAAGCATCAGTTTCCAATACACACCACAGTCAATCAAGTATTATATTAATTCTATTAGTATTCCTACTGGTAAAATATTTCCAGTTATTTTTCCACAACTCTTTCTTGAGAAAAAGAAATGCCAATACAAGTGAGAATAAAATTAAAATTGAAACCTTGTCCAAAGATACATGAAATTTGTTTCCATAAATGGTATCAATTGTCCTAATAAACTACAGATCTAGAAATACAACCCATAAGTGCATAGTTGATGGATAAATTTACAATATCACACTCATCCCCCTGTGCTAAAATGTATCTTACGTATAATGAGAATTGAACTGTACCATAATTAACATAGGTGAAGAAAACTAGAGATTTTTGCCAAATGTTATTGTACGACTTATTAGCATAGCACCCAGGTTCCTAGTTTGCCTTCCCTCCTAGAGTTTGGTGTGTATGGGAAAGAAAACTAGAGAAACATGAAAATGGAAGACTACTATTATTAACTTTTTTAGGAAAGGAGAAGGATTAATCAAAAGAATCAGTAAAAGATCATTGAACTATCCACAGCAATTTTGATTTCACCATTTTGCTTCTAGTTTAGCCCTGATTAAACCCTGATAAAAGGTTTTATATATATTATCTTTGATTCATAGCATAAAAACAAAACATAGTGTTAAATGTTTTCCTCCTGGCATAACAAATATGAAGGTATAGAGTGATAAATGTGGGAAGTGGGGACAATCCACATTGAGGTTGACAATAATTTTGGCTTGCAAACAGGCACTTCCCACAGTGGAACTTTGATTGGTAAAATAGCGAGTTTGATGCAAAGGAATGGAAGAAAATGAGAAAAAGATCAGAGATTTTCAAAACATAATTCAACCCATTATTTTTTAGATCGGAACTTATTAAACCCAAGAAAATAATTGTTGGCAAAGGAAAGCCCATGTGATAGTGCTTTTTAAAAATTTCAAAGTAAAACTCTAAATTATAAGCTTATATCATTTGGAATTGTTACTTCTTAGATATCTACAAAGAAAAATCTGAAGAATGTAAATTCAAGAGATATAAATTACCTCAACCTCCTACTCTCTTTGTTTTCTCCTCAACTCCTTCAACTTCAGCTTCCCCTTCCACTAAGTCTTTATAATCTCAAATCCTGGTATTAAGTAAAAATGGATTAGATAATTCCTACTGAGAGATAATGAGATTTTCTCAGATGATACGAAAGGGTAGAACTAAAACATTGAAAATAATGTCAAGTAAACCCATATCTATAACCAAGGGCAAGATGATTTCAAGAATTACTTAAGATTATTTTTATGGAGTTGTTTTGACCCATGTAAAATATAATCTAATAGGATAAGGGGAGGTAGTTGTTGCTATACTGGGTATAATGACCAATTCATATTCATAAACAAAAAATTGACACTTTTCAAGCAATTATGCTAACACCTAAAGACTGTGGTAGCTTTAAGGAGCATAAAGGATGCAACCACCTTTTACAAGAAATAGCCAAATTATTATTAAGTTTTGGGTGGAAGGACAAAAGATGATATTATTAGAACAAAGATGAATGATTACAGAACAAGCGAAATCCATCAAAATGGAGGCACAAATAAGAGAAACAAAGTCATCAATAGTCAATATAGTGTATCTCCCTTAAAGAGAAAGTGGAACAAGCACCAAAGAGAGGCCACAAAAAAACCCTGTCCATGCCAGATCGAAGGACTGAAACAATTTCTCCACAGTATTTTAATCAAGCCATATACACCAAAAAGTACCATAGATGAAACAACCATCTTTTCCTGCTATTACAAATAATGTCCTCCAACATTCTTCTTAACAAAGTGATCCTCATATATCATGTTGAAACAAACCATCTCATCAACTAACCACAACCCTCTGGAATCCTCGAACACTGCTCTTAAAAACAACAATGCTGACTTCTCTCCAAACAAGTGCTCGTCCCATGATATTAAAATCAAAAGATTGATTTTCATCATTTCCCATGTCCACAGACAATCTAAATTCAAACACCTAACAGGCTCGTAAATGAAGAAGACGAAGTAAATCCCCTACTAATATAAAGACATTAAATGGAATAGTCGCTTTCAACCCACATTTAACCCTTTTCAAGACCTGTCTCCAAAACACACACACACCATACTAACCTACCTTAAAATGAATTTGTGGTCCCAACAACTAACTCCTCTTCAATCTCGTAACTAGTTGTGCAGCACTACCTACTCAAAACAAAACCTACGGGTACAGTTAAACCTAAACCATTCACAATCAGCATTCTCATTTTAATCTAAAATAAAACTCAGCAAGTAACGATGACACAACGTGTAACCTCGGCATGAATTCCAAACCCTGTGATCGTGCCAATTGGCAAGGCACGCAAACCAAGGGCACGAAAATCGAACTATTACATTACATTTGTGTTCGCAAGAAGTTAGGCAAAGTATAAAAGAAACAATGATAATAACAACAACGAAAGCTGGAGCGTACAGAAAAGTGAATCGAGTTGAGACAAGTTTGCAATGTAAGCTGAAATTTCACCAGATACGTTAATCGATCAAATTTGCGGTGAAACGCGAAAAAAGAGGGGAAAAGGAAAATTGCGAAATGAAAATGCGAAGCGTGATTGGGAAATTGCGTTTTGCAGAGAGAAGATAAGAGAAATGGAGAAAGAGAGAAGGGATCTACCGTTGGGGCCGATGGATGCGTGTTTTTTCAACGTTTGCGTCTGCGGCTTATTTTCGTGAAACTAGTACCTTCTCTTCTCTGCCCCCATTCCTTTTTCTTTTTCTTTTTCTTTTCGTTTTTCCTTTTCGGTTTTTTTATTTTTTATTTTTTAAGTTACCTACATTTTTAGAAACCGTGCCGCGTTTTATTATTTTTGAGCCTCCCTAATAATTAATAATTATTATCAGGATATTTTTTTTTAATAATTACTTTGATCTCTATTTTTTTATTATCATAACTTTTTTAATAATTAAAACATTCAAATTTAATAACTTAAAATTAATAGATTGATTATAATATTAATTAAATTAATATATTTTTATTTTTTATTTTTATTTCATTTTTATTAATTCAAATTTATATATTGTATTATTTATTTTGAAGTTATATTTTATAATAGAATAAATCATTAAGTGAGCCCTTAAGTAATCTTTAGAGTAATAAAATTATATAAATAATTTCTCAAGAATTGAAAATTCATCAGTTTAGTTCTTAAGCTGATATATTTCATTAACACTAAGGAATCATTTGATGAATTTTTCAATACTTGAAAGATTACTTCTTTTTTTTTTTCACTGGAAGATCCATGAAAAGAGAGGGTAATACTTTATATATGAAATTGTGGGTTTACTCCTGTAAAATAAATTTTTATTTAAATTTTATATTTGTTTTATTTTGCATTTTAACGTGCATAATATTATGATTGATATATTATGTTAATAGATTGAGTTGACCTTGTATTATTCCATATATCTACCGAAATGAATAAGGACAAAGATAAATTTATCTCAACCTATGTTATGCACATTCCTGATATTCAAGTTTTACTTAATAATATTTGTGTGAATTCTAAAAAAAAAATGTTTAAGTGAGTTGATAACATCTCTTCTTTTATGTAAAATTTTAATTGACAAACTCTCACTATAAAAGTTTTTAGATCGTCATATATCAATCAGAAATCATTCTTATTATGATTTTTAAGATAGTACTACAAAAGTCAATAAATTGTCTCATCTTTGAAATGTTTTGTATATATTATGAACAATAATACATCCTCTGAAAAACGGTGTTCGAATCATCCTCCGAACATTAAATTATTAATAATTTTTAATAAATTTATTATAAAATAATTATTTAATTTAATTTAATATTTTATAATTTAAATTAATATTTTAATCTTCGGAATGATTTTCAGAACTTGCATTTGAAGTTTCTATTATTTTTCATATATTATTTATTCTTTCTTTAAAAAATAAAGTTCAAAATGACATGACTATTTTTTTTTCACTAATTCTGTTTTAAAATTTTCTCACAAGTATAAAAAAAAATTAAAGTTTATTCAAACACGTACTCATGTAGACATTTTTACGCGCACAGTATTGAATAAAATTTGGAATATATACATCTTGTTTTTAGCTTTATCAATACTCTCTTTAGCAGCTTATAATATCATCTTTACATTTTATATAAAAACATTTAACCTTATTTACTTTTTATTATAAAAATAGCTCATACATAAATGTTTATATAATGAGTATTTACTAATTAAACTTTTTACTCAGAGACCCAATCACGTATTGGATTTTAAGTTGTGATACTTGCAACTTAGTTTAGTGGTATTTTTTGAGTGGTCCGGGATGGAGCAGTTCTTTAAGTTCCCCATGCTAAAATGCACCAATGATTAGATGGAAAAGCACGAGAAAAACAATGATAACACCTATAATGTTTGATTTGTTTTAAAGCAAAACAAGCTAATTGAAATTTCATTTTGCCAAATTCCTGCATGAACTTTCCGGTAGGGCTTTTCCTTCCACTCTTACTTTCATTGTCCTACACGGAACTGTTAACGAGATTTGGCAGCACAAGGCGCATGTACCTCCTTTTATACAAGGAAAAGTATTTTCGACACCAGATGCTTTTAGCCACCTAGTAAAAAATAAAAAAGAAAAAAAATATAAATATAATAAACGATATGTAACAGAAAAAAAGAGAATAACAAAATGAGTGTTGACGGGATATTTTAAAAAATAAAATGCCCCCAAATCATTGCTCTTTATAAAGTGAAATTCCACAGCAATCACCAAATCAATACAAACCTATCATAGGGTGACCATCACCAACTGCTTCAATGCCCTCATGGTAGTTGCTATTTTTTTTTTATTACGTACAAGTACAACCCCACAGACGATGGAACAATTCTTCCACTACGCATATATACTGAAACACTTTTTACCCCACCGCCACCGGTTAAGATAAATAAATTAATCTGATTTCAAATTTAACTGCATTGTCACATGTCACAATCTGTGTAAACTGAAATAACTGAATGCTTGCACAGGGTATATTACACAAATTTCCAAATAAGACGAGTTAGCCAAATCAATAACTTCTTTTCTCCTGTATTTTCTTTTTTTGCTTTTCCCAAATACATAAGGAAAACTAAGATATCATTGCAAAACCGAGAAAAGTGATGACCTAGAAATCCAAAAGCTTCAGCCATCATGAAATTAATATTCCTAGGTCCAGACTTCTTGGGAACTGTGAATCTGGTGCAATGTTATTCTCAATAACTCAGTCACCTTCAAGTTCAGCACCAAACTGCTCAAGCCGGATGGCATCTCCATCCAGATCCCGGACTAAGGCATGGTTAACTGAACCATCATCTTCACTGGCATGTATCTGTCTACCACCAAACCTGATAAAAATAAATGAGGAAATGAATGGCTAGAGTTGGTATCCACTGGAAAAGGTAAACGAAGATACAAATGTGAAATAAAGGAGATAAAAAAAGGTAAAAGTAATAGCAGTTGTCATTACTATGATACTAGAATATTAGTCACTAGTTGTAACTAGTTGTCGATGAGCTCTGTATTTAATACTTGATTGGCATCTATACTTAATGCACTCAAAGCATATATAAAAGGAGTTTGTGCACACAAAGACACAATTGATCCCAAAATTGTGTTTCAATATGGTGTTCGAGCAGCACAATCTACCTTGACCTGAAAAGATTTGTTTCAACACAAGACTTTCGGTCATATAGAGTTGTTTTCTACTTTCTTCCTCTCATTTTAGTGGCTGAAATAAGTTAGCTTCATCTACTATTTACCCTTATATACTAATTTATTTGTTGAATCAATGATCCCACTTCACTATCATGCTCACAAGTTTCAAATCATCTACACAGTACTTCGCCATTGCCACATGTAAACCTCACTCAAATCATCATTCCCTTTTCCCACCCTTTCCATGATCATCATTGCCCATTCTCTTTTATTTCTCCTTTTGTCCCACCTGCTAATTAATGGTTTGCTAACAACATCACCAAAAGGTCTTGTTATTGTGGGGGAGTGCTAGTTGCCTAACCTCCTTGATTACATAGGTTGAGCTGTTTTATATTTCAGTGTTCTGTTTTTTGTGTTTATTCCTAGCAAGCTGAGTATACAAATTCCAAATTCATTAGCATACTAGTCTGGATTCATTATTACATGTTTTATTCAACTATCGTCATTAATGCAGTTAATATTAAGCTATGTAATTAGTCCTTCATTAGCTTTTGAACTTTATGCACCTTTAGTAAAATAAATTTTTATTGTGTACTCAAGACACGATTTCTCAAAAAATATAGGGTTTTTTTAAAGCAGAAAAATATAGGTTTAATAATGGCTTTAAATGAGGAATTCTAAATAAAGCATGCAATACAACTACACAAATATATTATATCTTTCTGGTCAGTATTTCCATTCAGATATCTTGATGTAATATTTCAGTAGTTCAAATATTAGATACAAGGAGTATGGACATCATAAGGCTTCAATACAACTAAAGGGATGGTGGAGATGCATCTTTAAAATATTAAAATATGAAATCATTTCATGAGTTAACAATTAAATTAGCATCTCAATCCTTCAGTTTCTAATAGAAAACTAACTACTAGTAGTTATTTTCTACACATAACTGTCCCTGACTATCAGTTCTATCAGATTTCATGATATTTTACCATGTTAAAATTCAATTTGGGGTACTATTTTATTCTTTTTTAATATTCCAGTTTGTAAGTCAGTTATAATTGTTTCTAAGTTTGCATAAAATAAATAAATAAATAAATAAAAATTGAATCATATAATTAAACAAATTACATGTTTATTATTATATAACCACCTCAGTTTCTGCCCCATGAAACATTGAATGATTCAACTATTTTAATAGTATATTCCTAGTTGATGAATAGCTAAAAACAGATCTGGAGATGGTCAACTAAGAAAGTTTCTAGGTCGAGTATGCTGCTTATATGATGCAGTAAGTTGTTGCAACATGAGGGATATGCATATATTGCACAACAAGAAAATGGATAAAACAAGGATAGAGTTACCATCTTCCATTCATCAATTCTATGCACTTCTGGGCATCCCTCCTATCCTTGAATTTTACCAAAACAACCCCCTGAGGGTGATTCTCACATATCTACAGGAAAAAAAAAAAAAAAAAAGCAGAGATCATGGAAAAGAACAGACAAAATTAGAGAATACAAATACAATAGTTGCATGAATATGATGGGTCTGAACAGTAACACTATGGCAATACAAACTCGGGATGCAACAAAATTTCTATAAAAAAAAGGGTAAGGGTATGGGAGGATATGTTAAACAAAATTAAGGAAATATATAAATCAAGTAAATAAATTGGAAGATATGTGCAATTTTCAAGTAAATTCTGTTGATGGCTGTCAAATAACAGATTGTAATCAAGTCATAACTCACCTGAAGCAGTGTTACAAAGATACATGACTACGTACTCTATCAGGTTGGACCTCTCGAACTACAGGAATGGACAAGAAATAATATTTACAATGAAGTGAATTCTAGAATTTCAATTCTTCCCTTACAGGCTGGTAGAACTAGGACTTCAAAATGAAGATGCCAAATCAAACTCAGTGTTGTGTTATTATATATATATTTTTTATAATGTATTGAATTAAGAAAAATGTTTTACAATGAAAGACCTTAATTCAACCAACCACATCAGAACAGAACAAAATGAGTCAGGCACTCATGTATGCCACCTTAACACACTTCAGTGTTGAGGGTATGCTTTGGGGTAACAAGGAGAAGGAAAAAAGAAAATAAAGTGAAGAGTGAGGGAAGAGAAAAAAATATGGGAGGTTAATGAATAAGTTTCTTTACTAAATAACAGAAATATCTTACTATCTTAGGGGATTCAAAATTATCTTATTTGATCTTTTATCATCATCCTTTTTTTTATTCTGTTTATCTTCAAGTCACAGTTTCTTTATTTTAGGAATAGTTGTTCCCTATTGAAGGATGATTAGAGAAGCAAATAAAATAAGTTTCGTTTTCATCTGTTTCCTTCTCTTTTTGATGATTAAAATCTTCCAATGTCCTCCAAATTGGGGGAACTTTAAAGAGTTCATAAAATTTAATAACAGATGCTTCAAGAGTTACATGATACATTGATAATATATCTCATCTTTTCTCCCCTCGTTTTAAAACACTCCTAAATAAGGGTTAAGTTTACTTAAAACCTTCAACACGCAAGGTCTAAACGAATTATAGAAGCAAATAAAAAATAAACAAATGTTTGTTTCACTCAATTGATTTAACTGGTAACAAAATGTTCATTAGAAGAGAGAGAAAATATGGGGGGGAAATAGTACCAATTCTATTTATTTTTAAGGCATATAGATCAACTACCTTGACTGAATCTACAGGACCAAGCTTTGTACACTCTTCTTTAACATCTTCTTCTAGTTCTAAACGCAAATTTTCATCAGCCTGCATGGATTGGGTAATATCAGCAAATGTCCAACAAGAGAAATAGAAGCACCAAATTGTAATCCTAAGAGAGCAAATTGAGGTTTGACTGTCATATGAGAAAAACAGGAAATGTTATCATAGTTATTAAAAATGAACCAAGCATAACTCAACTTCCAAAGTTAGCCCAAGGGGAGAAATTTCCCGAGCCTCGTAAGGAGCATTTTGCCATATTCCTAGTGAATGTATGACATCTAAACACCAAAACATGCGCAGGACTTACATTTGGAATGTGAAGTTAGCAAGACAAGACATCTACAAGCCAACATCGAGACTAGATGCTCTAAATCTAATACCATATAAGAAATAGTGCGTCTAACTCAACCCCAAAAATTATCTCATGGGTGAAGATTGCCCAAGCCTCGTAACTTGTAAGGAGTATTTTGGTCATATTTCTAGCTAATGTGGGACATCACAACAATAATAATTACCATCACAATAGGAAAGAAAAAGATTAATCATGATCACATAAAATACCTATTCTAAATATGTACAATAGAACTTTTAAAAACCTAAAAGAAACTTCAAAAGCAGATTGTTACTGTGATCTATAAATGACCATGTCCAAAATGATGGGCAGGTATGACCTCTTGTATAGCAAGTTTCTAGTGTGATAATTGTATCCAGAAAACAAGCAAAATTAAGTAACACCAACCCTCATTTCAACTGGAGTGAACATATGGCGAAGGATAACAGTTGCTGGAATTGAAACTTTTGCATCATCACGACCACCTGAGCCACATACAATGAGAAACACATTACTACAAGGGATGCATGCTAAATAAGAAAATTAACTCAAAAATGAATCTAAAATCTCAAGTCAGCCAAAATAATCTAAACTTCTCACTACTGAGATTGAAAAGGATTTTAAATATGACATTTGAGCATAGCATGCTTTCAAAAGCAGACCATAGATACAACAGAATACATTCTAGCACTGTTATTTTTAAATGATTCTCAACATTTGCAACGGCTCCAGTATTTAAAGAGCAATATATTACAGACTTCAATGAGACATTAATTAGTTAGTTCCAAAATGGAATACATAGTATATAACCAAGCGCCTATTGACACAGGTAAAGACTTGATCCAATTACACTATCTAGAAAATTCTTGTAAAAATATTTACCAGAAGGTAAATCATTTTGGTTTGAAAAAAAAATAAATGAAAAGGGAAATTAAGCTAAATTAAAGATTGAAGAGGGAATCAGTCATATTTAGAAACATAAACTTGAAAAATTTAGGAGAACAAACATACCCCATCCAAGCATTTTTTCTTCCACCCTTTTCAACTTCTTTTTCTTTTTATTGTCTACTTGCTTGGATACAAACTTGTCTCCTGCATATTTAAAGAAAGCTTTGTCAAGCAAAAGCAGGCATAATAAATACTAAATTATTAATTTAACTTTAACACATGGATTTCCATATGACCATATCTAACAATAATTATCAGAAGTTGTCATAGAAAATATTAAATTCAATAAAAATTACCTTTCTGCTCAAATTTAGCCTGGCTGACAGACATAGGAATCTTGCCACCAGGGCGAAGAGGTGTTCCATCTAAAATTTGAAGTGCCAAAGCTACTGAAGGTTCCTAGTAAATGCAAACATAATTGAAACCTTGTTAGATTCACAACTATATGTCACAAGGCAGAACAATAAGGAAAGGGAAAG